TACATTTTGTGAGGGGTTCAAGTTCGACTCCTTACAAGGTTATGGAAGGAAACTGACCCCCTTCCATTAAAATTTATTTCATCTCTTAAAACTATTTGTACTGAAATAGCCAACTGCAGTTACAAAGTTGTAAGTCTTACATTTACTGTGCTATTGAATAAAGACTCTATTCCCTGAAAAAGAAAAAAAAATTCTCCAAGGCATAAAAGAAGGAAAGAAATGACCCCATCTCCAAAGTCCAGCCCATCTCCTGAGCTCCATGTGCTAAGATGCTGTGGTAGTTAAGGTTGTGTGTCAACTTGGGTGGGCTGTGATTTTGATTGGACTGGCAGCTGGATGTACTTATTCCCCATGATGGGACTGGACGTGGTGTGATCATCTCCATGGTAGAAATCTTCTGTGAGCATCTAATCAGCTGAAGGGGTGTGGCCTGCTTCCAATATACACAGAAAGGATCTTGCATTTGGTTCATTCATCTCCAGTCCCTGGACTTGAACCAGTGGACCCACGTGTTGCCTGCCGATCTTGGGTTCATCGGCCTCAGCAGCCAGTAGCTACATGACTCAGAAGAAACCCCCAGCTTGCTCCAGTGGGTCTGGAACAAGAGGCAGAGCTGACGCCCAACACTGAGGGGCCTGCACCCAGCCCCTAGACCGAGCACACTGAACTCACACTTCTAGTCCCTAAACTATAGGAGAATAAAGTTTAGTGTTAAAACAAAAAGAAACAAGCAAACAAGCCTTCTCTAGGAAGATTGGCTCTAACCTACTCAGCGGCAGAAATGTCTGGCAATCTGCTTCCATCATGGGCTTTCCCATGAGTCACAATTGACTCAATGGCAATGGATTTGCTTTGGGATTTTTTGAGGACGACACCTCATATCTTATACCAAAATTAACTCAAAATAGAGAATAGACCGAAATTTAAAACTTAACAACCACAATGCTTGTAGAGGCAAGCATAGGTGCAAGTTCTCATGAAAGCAAACAAGTCTACCAAGTGGACTTCATCAAAATTTAAAAGGTTTGCTCTGCAAAAGACACATGCTACAGACCCAGGGAAAGTATTTGAAACTCACACATCCTTCAGAGGACTTGTGTACATAATATATTTTTAAAAGCTTCCAAAACTCAAAAGTAAGAAAACATAGCTCAATTAACAATTAGGCCAAAGGCTTGAAGAGATACTCCAAAGAAGATATATAGATGGCATAGTGACTCCATGACAGTATATCCACTATCATGTGCTACTAGGGAAATGCAAACTCAAACCACAACGAGGTACCACAACACAGCTATTATGTATCTAAACTTAAAAACAAAACCTTGACAAAAGTGTTCTGGTGAGGGTGTAGAGCAATTGGAAAGCTCATTAAATTGCTGGGGGTAAAGCAAAAGGGTACAGCTACTATGCAAAAGAGCTGGGCAGTTTCTTATAAAGTTAAACATAGTTACCATATGAGCCGGCAAGCCCACATGCAAGTTCAAGGTGAAGCTGGAAGAAAATGAAAACAAGTCCATGAGAGCCAAAATACAACCTGGATTAGATCCCACCTGAATTTAGGATGTCTCAACAGCAGCCCTATTGCCACTTGGGGTCTGATAATCATTTACTTAAAAAATTGTGATTTGAGTGAAAGTTTACAGAACACATTCATTTTCCATAGAGCAGTTCATACATTTTGTTTCATGACATTGACTGCAATCCCCACAGTGTAACAGCTCTCTTCCCACTGCCTTCCTGGTGTTACCTCTTCCCTGTGTCCTTCTTTCCTATGCATGCCTGCCCCCTGAGCTGTCTCCTTGTGCAAATACTGCCCTTCTGTTCTTCCAGGATTGATTGTTCTAAGGAGTGTACCTACCTGGTGTCAATGTTCACCTTATACATTGCTCTGGAAGCCATGGGAGTGAGTTCAATTCCAGGCCTGAAGGGTGATTAGGGGCCATAGTCTCGGAGGTTTCACCAGTCTCTATCAGACAAGTAAGCCTGGTCTTTTCCACATTTTTCTCCCACTCTATCCAGGATGTCCTGCACTGATCCCTTACCAAGGGGTTGACATTGGTAACTGGGCACCTAGTTCGTCTGGTCTCAGGGTCACGTAGGCTGAGGTTCATATGGTCAACTAGTCCCTTGGACTAATTGTTTCCATGCATCTTCGAGTTTCCTCACTCTTCTTTGCTGCAGAGGATAATCATTTGTTGATGTTGGGGGGAGCTGTTTAATAGCACCCCGGGCCTGTACTTGTCAGATGCCAGTAGCACCATCCCCTGCCCAGGTTGTGGTAACAGAAATTATCCCTGGACATCGCCAGATGTCCTTTGAGAGGACGAAATCCCTCCTGGTTGAGAACCACTGCCCTAGGTAAATGACAGCTTGTTCCAGGAAAAAGCCTTAAAAGAATATTTATAACAGTCCTATTATCAGCTGTCAAAACTTGAAACAGTCCTTCAATGGGTGAATGGATAAACAGACTGCGGCACATCCATATACTTGAATACTACTCACCAATAAAACAGAATGCTTGACACATGCAATAATTTGGATGAATCTCAAAGACTGATACTATGCTAAGTGAAAAAAATCAATCTTAAAAGGTTATATAGGGTATGGTTCCATTTATCTGATATTCTCCAAAAGAGAGAACTATACTGATGAAGAATGGACAGCGATTGCCAGGGGTGGGGTGGGGTAACTATGAAGGAGTAGCATGAAGGAGTATTTTTGGAAAATGGAACAGTTCTGAATCCTGATTTTGGTGGTGGCTACGCGCACTCCTCACTGAACAGCATGGTTAAGTTCCAAAGACCAAGTCATGTGAAAATCAGCAGTAAGTGAAGAATGAAGGATTACTCCAGCCGCCCACAAGGTGGAGGATGACCCCGGCATCATATACCTGCCACGTTCCATCACCGCACAACACCAAAGCCCTGAGAGTCAGGGCCCAGAACCTTAACCCAGCCAGTGCCACTCTCACCTCACACCTTAGCATTCCTTATTGTCAGACAGATATCGCTAATGGTGAAATAGTCAGATAATAGATTTTTTACTATTATCATGAATGCGAAATGTTGGTGAACAAGATAAGATAAGTGAGGGGTGGGTGTAGATATGTTAAAACTCACAGAACTATATACACCAATAGAAAGCTTTACTGTATAGTCATTTTAAAACATAAAAGTTATAATGCCACATTAAAAAATTGAATGTGAGATGGAAGAATCTAGGATTCTACTATAAAAATGTCCTCACAAAATTGTTTAAATTAGAGGGTTTGAAAGATACATAGAGAAGAAGTCTTAGAAATTTACATGATGCTGAATCTTCTGAGTATTTTCTAATTTCATGAACATTAAAAGTAACTAAAGAAGGATATGGAACTTTAATAAAGTAAAACATGTATTTCAGCCCATGGCTTAAATTTTTCAGCTTAGATCAGAACTTGTCTTCAAAGAGGAAAAAAAAGAACACTTATGATTATGTACAAATTGAAAGGATATTTATTCTGTATACTGTATAGGCTTGTTGTGTGGAATAAGTAAAATCATATAAACCAATCATTTTAAAATACTGGCTTCCAAGATTAAAAAAAAAGCTCATAATTGGATGAGATGGGATAGCCCTGAAACATACTTACACAGTAGTTTCTTCACAGCTCCCTTCCTCTAGCCAGTATGCTGGGCTCTTAATCTACTATCTCGTCTTGCCTAGTAGTGCGCAGAGACAATTATTGGCCAATGATTATAAACTTAGGCAAGGAACCTATCTGAAACCATGTTGTTAATGAAATACTAGTCTTTCTCACAACCTCAATGATCAGAGATGAACGGCTGGTGTCTGGATGACTCTGCATTTGCTTTCACTAGGTTTTAGATTTACTTCCCTTTTCTGTTCTCTGGAGACAGAGTACAGCTGTTCAGCAGCCTTTACAAGAGTGCTTTCTTCTAGAAGTTTCCCAAGGGCCATTACTAAGCGGGAGAAACATTGGGAAGAGCACAGATTTGCACAGGAGTCCCTTTCCATCTGCATATGGTGAGGTCCACTCACAGAACAACTTTTAGCAAATGAAAAAGAAAATGCAGCACTTACTGCTTCGTGAGGGACTGCCATTTTGAGACTGTCAATTGCCTATTATCTGCATGGACAGGAGGACAGAATGATCTCAGTGCCTTGCACTTTGTCCTTCTAAGATCTCCTCACACTCTGATAGTTCAAATAGGCGGTCTCTCTAGAGTTCTCTACATTTCTAAACTGCAGAATGGTCAGTTCTAGCTGAAGTGCCTGTAAGTTGCCAGAGGCACTAAAAGACCCTTTCCTCCTGAAAACCCCTGCTTGCGATAGAATGTACGATGAAGAGAATTGCATAGACAACAGAAGGCAGGAGGGAGAGATTAGGGCTCTTCAAGTGTAAACGGTTAACAAAATGATAATAGCGGCGGCAAGTTTCTATCTGCTCAAGTCTACGGAGAGACCCTCACCAAAAGTATCCTGAGGCTAAAACATACTCCCACTTAAAGCCCACAGCACCCTACCATCACCACTCGCCCACTCTTCCCCTCTCCCACCAGAGGACTGTGATTCATCGTCTGGGACAGTTCAGAGTCAGTCACCAGGCAATAGGGGTGCTCTGGCGGAAAGGGAGCATCCAGTGTGTGAGTTTGCACAGCCTAGACTCTGAACATTCAGAGAACTGCAAACCTGTTAGAGTTAAACAAGACTTCATAGCGCCAATGGAAAGAATTACTGGCATTTCCATTTTCCCATGACGCATGCCTCAGCTCTGGATTCTCCTGAAATACTGCGGCCTCCAAATGCCATGAGGAGTTGAGTGTTACAGGAAAGGAAACCAGTTTCAAACCCGTTTGTTCCCTCTCGAGGAAACCTTAGGAGCCGGTATGCACTCAATAAATGTTTTAAGATTGCATAGGCGTTCTTGAAGGGTATGTTTCCTTTAAAATGAACTCATAAGAGTCCATCTTGGGGTGAAGAATAGAAAGAGTTACCATTTGCATGCAGCTTTCTTCATCTTCTCTGGAAACAGGATTGGCAAAAAATCTCGCAGAGTTAATCCCATTTTTTTCTGGAGAGAGAAAGCTGGTTCGATTGCTAAGAACAAAAATACAGATGAGGTCAAAGCAGTGTCTCACAGCTGCTCAGAAAGCTAGCCAGGGACAGACATGGGCCCACAGGGCTTCAGCCCTCCCCCCTTCCAGATACAACTTCCTTCCGGTCAAAGCAATTCCTGGGCAGCAAACACCTCGCAGCGGCTTCTATTGCAGTTGGGGCAAGTGGCTCCCAACTCCCAAGTGCTGCATTTTTCCAGAGCTTACATTTGACATAGCTCATGAAGTTTCTAGAAACAGATCAAGGTATCAAATCATTTAGCAAAAGATACTCCTTTGGGGCTCTCTTGTTTCCATTCAAAGTAAGCAGGAAAAAAAAAAAAAAAAAAGGGAAACCCTGTATGATGGTTTCTCTCATAGGACAAGGACAAGACTCCCAATAGACTTCCATCCTACTCAAGAGTCAGAAGCACAGGTTGAAGCTCTTGGAAGGCGTGGCTGGAAATACGGCTCCCTGGAGAATTCCACTTTAAAAACTGATTGTGTCTGGTGACATTTAGACTGAACCAAGAAACTCCCATGCTAGGATTGGAACTCTGAAAATGCAACTTCTAATAAGTGAGATGAGAGAATGTGGATATATTTTGGGGTATCAAGCTACCCATCCCTCCTTTTCTGAAAACTCCCTTCCCCTACCTGTTTACAAGGCTGGGTTCTGGAAGCCATCTTGACACTACTGATCCCACCCCCTTGGCCTAGCTCTTTGAACTGAGGCCAGGACAAGACAATTCTCTCTCTCTCTCTCTCTCTCTCTCTCTCTCAGGAAATCTGAGTTGAGACAGAAAAAGTATACATCTTTGTTGATACTCAAATCTTAACATGTAAATAATCTCAGGAGCTATGGTTCAGCTATTTTTCGTCATGAGGATAATGGAACAGAAAAAAAGTGATACAAAGAAAGAGAAATGAGCGAAAGTAAAGAGAGAGGCAGACACGAGAGATGCAGAGAAGGGTTCTTTAGGTTCTCAGTGGCACTCTAGTTTCTGGCTCCAGAACCCTAGGAACCTCAGTTCTATTTGTACTCTATAAACGCCTTTGTCTCTTGACAACAAATCCTGCCCTTCCTTTAGCTTAAGCTAGCTCAAGCAGGCTTTGACCACATTGACTCAAAGAGGCCTAACGAAGACAGGCTATTGTCTGCGCCAAATGAAGTCCCTGTGAGTTATCAAAGACTTACCAAGGCACAGTGAGTGTCCCGGTTAGAGACGCATTCTCCCGGATGGTGGAGAGGTTTCTCAGGTCCAGTGGAGGTGGCCGTGCTACAAGATAACACACAGTTTCCTGTACGGTAAGTTTTCAGGAATGCATGGCCAGAATATAAAGACTTTAAAACTATGATATTCCACTTTCTTAATGTACCAAATCCAAAGGAACTAATCAGTAGCACTGATGGTAAATGTGAATTTTACACTCCTACTCTATCCTGCCTCCGTGGGAGTACAGAGGACAACTACTGAGCAAATGGACACATTACAGCTGGAGGTGACAATGGAGAGATACAGTCGATCAACACATATTTATTCACTGCCCAAGGTGTTGAAGGCACTATGAACAAAACAGACCTAAGTCGCCACCCTTAGGGAACCTAAAGTTGACTCCACACTCAACAGGTCCAAAACTGGAAACTGACCTTATCACAGGAGGCAGAGATGAGCGATCACCCAGGTTCTAGTCTCCCCACCTCCAATTCATTCTCCACCTACTGGCCCTTCTGCCTAGAACATTGTTCCCCATCTCTTTGACTGGTTGCTCATTTTCAGATCTCAGCTCAAAGTCCTCTACTTAGGGAGGTCTTTTTTGACCTCCAGATGAGATCAGGCCCCACATCATAGACTTTCATAGGCGCTCCTACTTAGCCTTCTCAATTTGTGATGATACATTCATCTGTGGTGATTTGATCCAGGTCAAGATTATGTGTTCCATGAGAACAGACTTTTCTTCAGGTTTGTTCACTGTAGTAGCCTTAGCATCTAGAGAAGTGCCTGACACATAGTAGGTGCTCTGACACTTTGCTGAGTTAGTCATGCATCTATTCCTAGGTCAGTGTCTCATCAGACTGTTTTGTATCTCTTTCTCCTACTAGATTATATGGGGAGAGATTGCCCTCCATATCACTGGAGGACAGTGTCTTGCCTATAGGAAGGTATGTTAAACCAACCTATATTTGATAAGCATAGACAGTTTATAGACTACAGCGTAGACCTTGTCAGAAGACGATTTCTGATTCACAAAACAGGTGAACTCTATTTAAATTCGGTGCATTAAAGTTGTTTTAACTCGCCCATCAGACTAAGTTCAACCCATATAGACTAAGAAAATGCATTTCTGTGACTTATAACAATCTTTTTATCTGATCTTTAAAAATCTGGGTAGAGAGATGACTGTTGATTGGGAGAAGATACCCATAATAAATACTTGAGGGTCTAGGCAATTGTCCTGCAGAAATGGTCTGTGATTAAGTAGCTAAAGCAGCCTGGAACCTCCCATACAAATAAGATGATTAAAGTGTTGGTATTTTAGAACTGACTGTCGCGGATGGAGCCATTGCCTGAGCAAGCCCAAGTATATAAGGCTGGTTCATCATTCAGAAATCAATTAATGTAATTGTACACATAAAAAAATGTTGAATTTGCAAAAGTTGGGCTATATATATCTTTTTACCACAATTAAAAAAAAAGTTTAATCCCCAAAAAACAAAAATATCAATTATGTTGTCATATCAACAGGCTAAAGCAGAAAACTCATGATCAATTGTATCAATAGATGCCAGCAAAGCATTTGACAAAGTCCAACATCCAGTCACAACAAAGACTCTCAGCAAACTAGGATTAGAGGAGAACTCTGCTAAATTGATAAAGAACAAAAAATCTACTTAATGGTTAGAAAGTGGATGCTTTCCCCCTAAGATCAGGAACATTATACCATACTACAAGTCCTAGTTAATGCAGTAAGAGAAGGACATACAAGGTATACATATTGGGAAGGATGAAATAAAAATGTCCTTGTTCAGAAATGATATAATTATAGATGTAGAAAAATCTCAAAGAATTAGGAAAAGGGGAAAAAAGATAAACCTCCTGGCAATTATATGAAAGTTGTACGATCTAAGGTTATTATACAAAAGTCGATTATATTCCTCTATACCAGCAATGAACAACTAGAATTTGAAAATAAAAAACTTACAATATTTACTTTAGAACCAAAAAATTAAATACTTAGATATAAATATAACAAAATATATACAAAATCTGTATGAAGAAAATCTGATGAATGAAATCAAAGATCTGATGATGGGTTATACCATATAGGGTACACAGGATAGGAAGGCTGTCACATGGGACAGGATACGGATGGAAGACTCAGTACTACTAAGATGTCAGTTCTCCCCATGCAAGACAATGGATCTAGATTCAGAGCTCACAAGTTTCACCAAAATCACCTCAAAAATGGATCACAGACCTAACTGTAAAAGGCCAATCTACGAGAGTATAGAATTTGTAGAAGATAACCTAAGAGAAAATCAAGCTGACTTTTGGTGTGGTGATGAATTTTCAGATGTAATACCCGAAGCACAATCCATGAAATAAAACACTGATAAGCTGGATGCAGGCCGGGAGGGTGGTTCTGAGGAGTGAATGGGATGCAGAGGATGGGAGCAGAAAGATTAATCTGGGATGCTTCTGTCCAATCTCATCACTAGGGAGGAGGGTTCGGGGAGTGGCGAGGGAAACAAGGTAGTTCAGAAGGCCACTCAGAGGCCAGAAGGAACACCCTGGGCTTGCTACCATCTTGCCCGCTAATGTTTGCCAAGGAACCGTCAGGTGTCCAGTTGGAGATGTGCTCTCCCAGCATCGGCTTCACATTTTCCAGAACCCACCCATTGTGGCCTTGGGGTCCATTCTTGCACCCACCCAAAGACTCTCCAATATCAGGTCCATCCAACCACATGTCATCTCTCCTCCTATTCCCAGGTCTTGTAGAGCTGTGCAGACCACTGCGGTAGCCACTAGACACATGTGGTCATATGCATTTAAATGTAAATTAATTAACATTAAACAAAACTTAAAAGTCATCTCCTCAGTTGCAGTAGCCACATTACAAGTCTTCAAAAGCTACATTTCCATCATTGCAAAAAGTTACTAAATGTTCCGTTGGCCAGTACTGCTATTAAAATAATTTATTGAGCCAAGCAATAATACCACCTCAAAGTTGGTCTCCTATGAAACTATATCTGACCAAAATGGATGTTATTTCCTCTGACCCTCATGAGACAACGTCTGTTCTCCTATTTAGTACAGACTTCCTAGTTCTTCTCCATCCAGGTGTTTTTCACATATCTTCCTCCCCCTCAGACTGAAGAACTCTCCTGGTATCCTCATTTTTTAATCCCACCCAGTACCTGGCAGAATTGTACACACAGAGGCTAAGGAGGGTGTGACTTAAGTTGAAGGGAATATGTCCGGAATGGACCATGCATGACCGGGGGGGGGGGTTAGTTACCAGCTTTGGACACAGTCACTTCCAGTAGTGGTGTTTGCGAGGAAAAGGCAGGGGGAAGGTGGGGACAGACTAGAGGGAGTGCCAGAGATGGCAGACATTGTACAAGATGCTTTCTTGTATTCACACAGCCCAACCAGGCAGGTGCAGGTGGAAAGTTGCTCTGACCTGCTTTTCCACTTCCCTTCTTCCTATGTCTATCTCCCTGCCTGTCCACATTGCTGAGCCGACCAAAGAAGCTGATGGGCAGCTCTGTGTGCAGAGGACTCACACCACTCCCCCATCCCCAAACCACCTCTGCAGACAGGCATGCACAGACAGTGGACCTAAATTGCATGGACCAGGCCAGCACGTGTAGGTTTGAGCATCAAAAGCCATTCTTGGCTGCTTATTCCTGAGCTTTTTTAGGGTAAACAGTCAAAGATGGCCTTGGAGGCTACATTTAAGGGCCACAGTGCCTGCAAGTCCTCAGGCTCTAGGCCCCAAGGCCTCCTGCCTCTTTCTTTCAACCCAATAGGGAGCCCCACAGTGCCCCGCCCTCCCCACTGCGACCACTCACTGCTCTCGAGTCATTGTATTTTCAGAGGCCCTCTAAGCTTGTTGCTCTACAGCGTCTTTCCCAGGGAAGCTCAGGAAGAAAGCTTTTTCTGAGCAGCTCCTAGGACCTTGCTTCCACCTCTACACAGCAGGCCTGGTCAAGCAGCTTACGTTTCCTTTGAGGCTTGAGATCTCTGTTCACTGGAGGAGGCTCCAGGTCCACAGGCAGCTCAGGCAGTAGGGTTGAGATGCTTCCTGGGCCCATTGGGATGTAGTCATCAGAACTGCCATGGGGTCCAAGGCCCATGGCAGTGGCGAGGGGGCCCATGGGCACATAGCTATCTTCTTCGGCACTGGCTGAAGCTGTGGGGTTCATTGGAGAGAACCTGCATGGCTGCAAGAGAATAAGGACAGGATGGGAACCACAGACTAGGACAGAAACTGCTACTAATGAGCAATCAGGCTGTCCACATGACTTCAGCTCCAAATTATTCAAGAATAACTCAGAATGTCCCTAGGAAAGGTAAACAGGCCTCTGATTCAGGCTCTACCTCTAGACTTCATGGGTGAGCACAGGCAATAACTCTCCTAGATCTGGTGCTACAAGACAGAGGGTAATGAATTTATGAAAATGCTTTAAGTATAATGTGATGTCTTAAGTAGCTAACCTGAGATGGGCAATATTTGGACCAGGAGAACTGGCAGGGACCTCCTAAGAACACCAGTGAGTCTCAAACGTCTTCTAAGCAAGTTCAGATCTGAAGGAGGCACTGCAAAGTCTTTAGAGATTCTGAATGCTGAGTCTCAAAAGACTTCCAAGGCATATGGGTAGGTCAGGCTAACTTGGATAAAATTAATGCTGAAAGGAAGCTGAGTGCCAAACTTACCAAATTTAAACTAAGCCTCTTGTCTCGGTGTCTTAAGGATTGGCCTTCTACATCAGCTGCAAGAAACAAGCCGGGGTGGTTAGAAATGCTAGGCGTCAATTGAATTTAGGGGCCAAGTGCCCCCTGTGCTCAGACAGGGCAGAAGGTTGGAGATGGCCCTTGTGATGAGTGGGAGAAAGAGGTGAGCAGAGAACCAGCTGCACTGTCGGGCAGCAGTGAGGGCCTGGCTGAGATCCGCAACCATGATTTTCTACAGCACAAGTCAGCTCCTTGGGTCCAGGTGTGGAGACAGCTGGATTACTCACAGTTGGAACTCTGTCAGATGGGTGTGACAAATAAACAAAGTGCAATCGAAATTTAGAACAATCATTGTATTTAAAGAGATATCTAGAAGGCAGCAAGATCCATGAGCTGGACTCCGAGGAGCTATGACTTTGGGAACTGGCAGTTGAAACCATAACAGTAAACAGGGATGACCTGGGTAGAGGATTTTGAGAGAATTTTAAGTGCAAAACCTTAGAGAGTCCCAAGATCCAAAGAGCAGGAAGATGAGCCGAACAGCAGGATCCTGAGAAAGAGTAACTGTAGAGCAATGAGACAGGCAGGAAGGCACAGCGCCATGAAAGCCTCAGGAAGGAGTGAATGGCCAACAATGCCAAGAAGTCCAGCAGCAAGTGTTCTTAGAGCGTGGGGGCCAGAGCAAAGCATCCCACGGGAATGTTGTTGTTGTTGTTGTTAAGTGCCGTCGAGTCATCTCCGACTCATAGCGACCCCATGCACAGCAGAACGAAACACTGCCCGATCCCGCACCAGCCTCACAATCCCTGCTATACTTGAGCTCATCATT